TTTCTGTAGTGAAAGGTCTGAAGTTTAAATCTTCTTGAGCATTATGCTTTTTCTGTCCTTTTACCCATATGGGAGATTGGGGGGGAGGGCAGGGGGGGATGAAGAGAGGAACTTGACCATGCTTATTCACTGGTGAGTAAGAGATTCTGCACATGATCAGGGGGATAACTTCTTTTATACAGGCAAGTTACAGCAAGGCACCTTACAAGTACTAAAGATCTGGCTGAGCAAAACTGAGTGTTCTGCCCCCCATCCATGGCCCTATAGACTCCAGACGCAAATTTCTCAATGCAAACAAAAGAGGGAGCCACATAATCGTCTTATTTCAGAATAGATTTGGTCAGTAAGGGGTTAACTAATTCAGGTCCAGCCTTTTGGTATTTTATTTTATGGATGTAGATTTTCCCTTATGTCTCCACAATGAAAATGGATAGCTTCTTGTTTTGTAATGAAAGCTGGAAGGTTAGAGAGGAGGGGTAGCATGTTTCTGAATGGTCCAGTAGCTTGTGGGGCTGCTGGTGTGTGTGGAGAAATAGAATTTACAAAATTATACATGGGGTACAGAAGGTGTCTAGAGAGAGAGCTTTCCCCCCCTTCTCCCACACTAGAGCTTGCAGGCACTCAATGAGGTAACTGGGCAGTAGATTTAGAGTAGACAAAAAGGGTAATTAACTTGTAAAATTTAACTGCCACAGGTTGCTGTGGTGGTAGCTAGTTTAATTAGCTTTAAAACAGGGTTAGACAAATTTATGAAGGACAGGTCCATCAGTGCCTTCTAGCAGCAACGATTTCAGAAGCAGTATCTTCTAAATATTAGTGCGGGGTAGAAACAGCTTTTTGGTTTGTTTGTGGCTCTCCCATCAGTGCACATGGAAAAGGGGGAGTGAGCATTCCATACTCTGTTTCTGGGGCGGATAGGTGGTGCTTCACTATTTAGCAAGCTAATTCAGGGATCTGGTTCTCTTCCTCATCTAACAAGGGAGTTTAACAGATGACTAGCACTGCAGTAGAGGGTGACTATGTGAATTTTGCTTTAAAACATACTTAGGTGTTCTAATCAATTTTGAACTAGAGAAGCAATTCAAAGCAAGTCAAATCTCACATAAATACCCAAGCTGAATAAATCTGAATTTGGATATTGTTCCAAGGAAACTAGTTTGCAGATGTAAAAGCCCTACTTCACTAGCAATGAAGAGGCTGAATCAAAGGCATATCGTGAAGCTGAACCCAGAACTCACCTCTTTGCTCTGAGTAAAGACCAGAGCTTTATAGCTGACAGACATTTTAAATGTATTTTTTTTGTATCTTCACTAAGCTGTTCAACAGGCTCACTTTTAATGCTCTGCTGGAAACGCATATACCTGTAAAGTCTTTGGCAAACCTTTATTCTCCTGTAAGCACTTTTCTGTTTTATATTCATTTACTGGAACCGTCTCAGGAAAAGACTCATTTCGAGTGAAATTTCCCATCTCCTTTAAGATGCTGATGTAGATAAAGAATTACGGAAGTTAAAATGTCTGAGCGAGGGCGTTGGTTCTGTTACGTATGGGAGGGGGCTTGTTTCAGACCTTGAATAATGACTAGACTAGAATTTAGTCTTTAAAATGGGGGGTGGGTAATATCTGCATGCCAGTTTGTGTATGTGTGTTGCTCAAGAGAACGTTAGGGGAGAATTGAAAGGCAGGCTTTACTCCATTTGCCTGGCTGAAAGGCAGTTAATCCTCGCCCGAGCATTCTGTGCAATTACTTACACGTCTGGCATTGAGGGTTCCCTGTGCCGCAGTCACATGCCTGCTGGCGGGCAGCCAGTGGAATCTGATCTCTCTCTGAGGAAACACTATCAGTTGCAGATGCAGCCAGGGTTACCAGAATAGTAAATAACGAGTCACAAGACCCAAGCTAGCCTTTCAACGAAAACAAATAGTTTAATATCTTGGTATGAGAACAGAAACTGTTTCCTCCCCTCCCCCAATCTTACTCGAACTGAACGGCTTACTTTGACTCTGTTTTTGCTAAAGAGAACCCAGCGGCTTCAGTTTGTTTCGTGTCTCAGGCATTTAAAAGAGACAGAACCTCCATGATGCATATCTGGGATTCAGTTTTAAGTGCTCTTAGGAAGGTCACTAACCTATAGCATCTCTCATTTGTGCCCCTTCGTCAATTCAGTGGATGGAACCCAGGGGGTAAATGTTAATTCTGTGTTTTTGTCTGATTCCCACTCCAACCCCCAACTCGTAGGGTAAATTGCAATAGTATAAAAGGAGTCATCTGAGTCCCAAGCTTAAGGGGGGAACTGCAGGTTTCTGTGACCTTGTAGGTAAGGTTGCTGAGCCTTCCATGGAAGTGATGTCACAGAGTACCCAATGCTGGTGCCCCACATCTCCCAGTTCCCCAAGCTCCTGCCAGTTGCTAGGTCTGGTCTGGCAACTTTACTTGTAGGTCATCCACAGCCATACACTGATCCTTTCACCCAGCATGACTAGACATTCTTTGTTCTAAAGGAATGTGCAGCTGCTATCCTGAACAGTGGTTGAAAGGGTGCTCATAGCTAGGTCATCTGTTCCCAGGAATCACATTTTCTGTGCATGTGTTGATCAATGTTTTCATGATTAGGGAAATGTGTCCTCGTTGTGGCAATCAAACTCCTGAAGAATGACTGTTGTGTGTGTTGTGATAGTGCACCGGTTCCGTTCTTGTTACCACTGATTTTTCTGGCAGCTCACTTTTGCTCTTCAGCTTTGGCATGTTTCTGAAATGAAAAAAGAAATCACTGTAACTCATCCCTTTCCCTGCTCTAATTCTGCCTTGCCGGTTGTGCTGCCTTGGAGCTAGCACTACTAGAGCCTTTGAATGACAAGTGGAGTGGAGGAGTTCATATGGAAAGTTACCCCGTTAGTTGTTTACTTGCCTCAGTGACCATGAAGAGCAGACACAACACTAAGAGTGAAAGATAACTGTTGTACTATGAATTGCAGGGTCTGGAAAAAATATAGGTTCATCTGTCTCGGGGGAGCCAGGATAGTAGTGCTAAAAAAGTGAAAACCTTTGGGGAGTTTGTGCTAAAGACTGAAGCCAGGCTGGTCGTTTGGTAAGAGCATGTGCTTCCAGGAGTTCCTGTTGTCCATAATTCCTTCCCACAGAAGAGGCTATGCTAGTTTGCTCCATCAAATATAACAAATAAAGATACAGACAGTAGAAAGGTGGCTTGAGGGGATGGGGCATGGAGTTATTACAAAGAGGCTAGAAGACCTTGTTTCCCAGAAAAGGATATTAAATTGCAGGGAACAGATGACAAGAAAATTTAGTTAAAAGAGTAAATTATTTTCTCAGTGTTTGTGTGGACTACTCCCAACTGCTGCTGGATTAGCAAAGTAGAATGAACCTAGTTTTATGTATTGAGACTCTCCAGATGCATCCTACTTTAACTGGGTATAAATATCTCTGCCAGCTCAATGTAACACTTCATACATTTGGGAAAGTGAGCTCTGACTCGCAATAAATGTGTTGGTCTTAAAGGTGCTGCAAAAAGCTTCCCCTCCCCAGAGTGACCAAGTTTTATACATATCCCCCATATACGTTCTATCAATATTTTAATACATCTATCCAGGGCTCTTTTTGTAGAAAAAGCCCAGCAGGAACTCATTAGCATAATAAGCCACAGCAGCAGAAACTCATTAGCATATTAGGCCACACCCCTGACAGCACAGGTCATTAGCACATTAGGCCACACCCCCATGTTACCAGAGGTGTGGTTATCCAGCCACACCCACCTTTTGCTTGTTATTCTGTTTACCTTGTTTGTTGTCAAAACCCAGGGCTTTTTTGTAGCAGGAACTCCTTTGTTCCTGTGCGTTCCTGCCCAAAAATATCCCTGCATCTATCCAATCCCTAATATAGCTCCTGCCCCTCTGGAGCCAACATTCACCAACTTAGTTGTGATTCTGTGCTAATGTTATATAAATTATGCCATATTTACTCGAGAGGAAGATGACCCTGAATGTAAGACGACCCCCTTAAAAATTTTACACAAATATGTGAACGTAAGACAACCCCCTTTTTGATGGCATACCTGCGGGAGGGGGGGGGAGGAACTAGTCTTCCATCTGAATAAATACTGTATGTATTTGTGGAACACAAGAAGAGTCTGCTGGATTAGACCAATGGTCTGTCCAGACCAACATCCTATTTCTAGCAACAGCCAACCAGATAATTCTGAGAAGCCAACAAGCAGGCTACAAAGACAAGAAACAGGATTAGTTGGTAACTAGATCTGGAGTAACAGCCCATACAGAATATTGCAATGCTGAGTTCATCTATGTTACTGAATTTTCATCCATTTTCAAGAAGCAAATAAGCATCTTTCCATTTCCCACAAAAGTCAGTAGTCTACATCCACTTTCTCTCTCAGCCTAACCTATCTTACAGGATTGTTGTAAGAATAAACTGCTGCTCTCATGTTTGAGTAGAAGGAGTTGCAAGGTTCAGATGTAACAAATACCTAAATGTACAGTGAATTTGATTAATTAACTGAAATACTCTTTGTTTAAATTCTACTACCTTTGGTGTAACTTTGGAAGTATATGGTGTATTCAGACACTACAATAAACCCGTTCTTGCTCATTATGGTCACAAACACAGCTTGTCTGCTCCACTCTCTTTCCTCTATGCCCTGTTTCTTCATGGAGCACAATGGAAGGCTCTCTCATTTGTGAAACCGTTTTTCAAACTCCAGTTTGCCAGTTTGATGTGCAAGTGTAGGCACCTGGGCAAACTGGACTTTGTTTCATTTCAGAAGCAGGGATTCCAAATTATCTGCTCCCCATATCAAATCCTGGTTTGTGGGAAGGAAATCTGAAACCAACTCACACAGTTTATGAATGGAAACAGAGGGAATAACCATGAGAACAAGAGAGGCTTGTGCCCATCACAGACAGAGGTTTGTTCTGACATACTGCGACATGGTAATGCAACCTCTTTTTCTGCTTTTTATTTCCATTTAGAACCACCATTTGTAATCTCTATACCATGCCACGGATTGCAGAACCTGTGTGGCTTACTATGATGTCAGGAGCGTCTGAGAAGAACCAGCTGTGCCATCGCTTTATGAAGGAATTTACTTTCTTAATGGAACAGGCATCCAAGAACCAGTACAGTATTCCTTTCTTTTTTTGTTTTGTGTTAACTCTTTTAATATAAAAGATCTACATGCTGTCTGAGATGAACTACTAATCTTTAAAAAAAGAAAGGAATGAAGCATGTTATTTGCAAATACCCCCTCCGGGTTCCCGTTTAAGAACAATAGTTCTTAATAGCAATAATTACAAAGAACCACTTTATAAGAAGGGAAGTGCAAGTGATGACAGAGTGTGTGATATGTGGAGGGCAGCCTTTTGAACTAAAGTAGTAAGAGAAGTTATTGCTAACTAAAGCAAACTATCCATAAACATAACAAGTGCCTTACCCCTGTAAAAAGCGACAAACCTCATGAATGAAAGAGAAGATGTCATATATTGGGGTCCAAATATAATCTTTGGTGGTCCTAGGAGTGCAGCAGTCCTCACTTGTGGGGATATGGCTCCTCTTCTTTGAAATCGATCCAGCTGGGCCTGTCCCCTGGGAATTCCCCAGTCTTACTGGTCCTGCTGGAGAAGCAGGAGGGTCTTGTCGACGCTCCAAAAAAGAGTGTGAAGATCCAAAAGAAAGAAAAAGGGTGGGGAGAACAGGAGCGAAGGATCGTGCCTGTATGGTGCTTAATGAAAGCTAGATGAAATCTTCAATATTTTCTTAAATACAACAATTCATTTCCGTGGACTGCTTCCAGTCCTTCTGTGCAGAGCACCTTGCCCTTGTTGCTCAAATTGCACTGAAAAGTGACCACCCTGATTTCTTATAACTGAGAGCCAAACCAGATGGAACGCTAGGAGTTCTATGAATGACACCCCCCCACTTTTTTTTTTTAAAAAACAGTAGGCATGAAGAGCCCCGATTCATATTGGGACTACAGCACAAGGGGTGCTGTGGGATTTCAGCCTTCCACCCATGCAGTTTTCTAGACAGGAAACAGTACCAGGGAGAGCTAAAGATTAGAAACAGGCAGATACTCATATGGGCACCTGTATGTTTACTGCTGCGGTGGAGCTGCGGTGGCTCAAGTGGTTAAGACGCTGAACTGCAGGCTGTGGAAGGTTCAAGACCCGGGTGCCGCATGATGAGTGAGCTCCTGTCTCTAGTTCCAGCTCCTGCCAACCTAGCAGTTCGAAAGCAAGAAATTGCAAGTAGATAAATAGGTACCACTTCGGTGGGAAGGTAACAGCATTCTGTGCGCCTTGGTGTTTAGTCATGCCGGCCACATGACCACGGAAACGTCTTCAGACAGCGCTGGCTCTTCGGCTTTGAAACGGAGATGAGCACCGCAACCCTAGAGCCGGATTCGACTGGCTTTCGAGCAAGGGAACCTTATAGTCCTGAGCTGAATCAGAAGAAAAGCTCTGGGAGATCTATTCACAGAACTCTCCAGAAGACATCTGGTTTGGTCTGCCTAATGCAAACGTTCACTAGAAATATGTATATAAATTAATTCAGACTGCTCTTGAAAACGCTTAATGACAGTTTGGTAGCATGTCAGATTCTTGTTAATCCATTAATCTAACTGGAGACCACACGTTTTGCTTGATTGGGATCTTAAGGATACTGTAGAAGCACTGGAAATGGCAGCTGTCTGATACTGAATTCACATTCTCAGCAATGTAAAATTGTGTTTGAAGTGACGAATAACATTCATCTCAAGTTCTAAAAATATTAATTAGAGTATTCCTGGAATGTTTTGACCTATTTATGTCAAAATTGTGGCATACCCATATCTAACATCATTTAATATAGCATTTTAAATAGAAATCTCAGAACTCTAGCTTCCTTTTTAGACTTTGGGCGAATGAAATCTGATGGCTGACTGATGGAATAATGTACTTGAACAAAACAGAAAACCAGAGACAAAAGCCCTCAAGGCTCCAAAATGGTACTGAAACCAGATGCTAGGAGATCACCAGCTGCATATCACCAGATGTTAACTATATTTTCTCAGCCATTGTAAAATGTGCAGTGTTATGGCCAGGTTCCAAAAGGACACTGTTTCAGTGTTCAGCACAGTCAGGCCTAACTTCCACAGAACCATCAATTCTTTAATCTGACTGTCTTCCGGAGTGAGCATACACCAGCAGATTCTAAAACCTAGAATGGATGCTACTGATATTTGTTGTTGTTTACCCATATGGAAATTGATGCTTTTGTGTGGAAGCTATGTCCCCTTTCAGTGACATGATGCAAACTTCCCTCTCTCTTCTGTCACAAAGGCAATACTTTCATTCATAATGGCATTCCCTTCATGGCAGTGAATGAAAAGCTCTAAATATAGGAGTTGGGATCATACCTGAAGTAGGGGGTGTCTTACACGTTTTAGGGTGTATGTTAAATATTTATCATCCCTTTATGAAATAGCTTGCATATAAAATATACAGAGCATGTTGTTGTAATCGTATAGAAAATCAGTTAAAGTGACAGAGTTTATTTTTCATTCTTCAGATTTTTACCAGCTCTTCTGACTGCAATTTTGACAAACCACTTGGCCTGGGTCCCAACTGTTATGCCAAATGGCCAGCCACCTATCAAAATCTTTCTAGAAAAGCATTCCTCACAGAGTGTGGACATGTTGGCCAAGACTCATCCATACAATCCATTATGGGCGCAGTTAGGTATGTTTGAAACCACCTTAATAGTTACTGTTCTAAGTCAGCTGAAGTCAGTGGGGACTGCACTGTTAAAGACTTCACCGTTAGTTATTTGTTCCAAGAACAAAGGATTCATTACTATAACAGGAAAACCGATGAAGAAGAAATGTGGCGAAAGAAGGAAAACAGTGCAAGAAATTATCGTCCCAGTAAATTATTTTACCGAACAATGAAGTCAAATAACCAAGATATGAATAGAGCCTCTTCATTAATTTCCCACCTTTCCACAAGGTATCTCAGAGCAGCATATGTATGTGGTGGTCATTTCCCACCTTTCATTTGAACCTCACAGCAACATGGCTTATTGGCTTATGTATAATGGCTTGGATGGTGAAGAGGAAAGGCAAGTTAGTGTCACGGGTGAGATGTGGCAGTGATGGGGACAGAAGAAAGCCAGAGCTAGTGGCAAAGGTGAAAATGGTCCCTTTTGTATCTGTTAAAATGGATAAAGCAACCTTTTTTGTTTGACAAGCATCCTGATCCTAAACACTTACTTAGCCATAGGCGGCACAGGTTTCAATAGAATGTGCTTCCAAGTAAATAATTATTATTATTATCGTATGCCATTGTGGGTAGTATAGCCAAGAGATCCTAAGATTGTCTGGCAGCCAGAAGTTCTAGCTCTTTAGCACTATGCACCACTAGGTGGCAATCTAGACTTGTTTTTGAGGCAAGAAATGTTTCAGAGGTAGTTTGCCATTGCTTGCCTCCGCATCACAACCCTGGTATTCCTTGGAAGTCGCCAAGTAAATAATATTAGGATATGCACTCAAAAATAGTTCCAAATATGATTACTGTTCTGGCCACCTGTGCCCTTCTTCCAAATTCCATTTGATCTCAAATTAAAGGCATTAAACTGGAAACTACCATTGTCGTTTGTGCTTTGTTTTTTAAATCAAGTATGTGTTGGTACACTCCATTTTCTATTTCAAATTTAGGGAATGATGCTAGATTTCTTGCCTGTTGTGTAATTAGCATGCTGTTTTCATTTTGTTACCCTCTAGGAGACTTGTATGGAGCTATTGGATCACCTGTGAGACTATCAAAAGCCGTTGTGGTTGGCAAAAGGCAAGATCTTGTGCAACGTCTGCTGTATTTCCTCACTTACTTCATACGATGCTCTGAGTTGCAAGAAACTCATCTTCTGGAAAATGGAGAAGATGAGGCCATAGTGATGCCTGGCACAGTTATCACCACTACCTTAGAGAAAGGGGAAGTAGAGGAGTCTGAGTATGTTCTGGTTACAATGCACAAGAACAGAATCAATTTATCCCTTAATGAGTCTGAAGAAGCGAGAACGTCTAACTGCAGCTGTAAATACTGCAAGTGCCCACTTAACCCTGGTCAAAATACAGAGGATGCTTCAGCACAGGAGAGAGATGATCCTCCAGAAACCCCAGAAGTAGAGAGTGAAGTTGCTTCAGGTGAAAACAGGGCAGTACCTGCAGACTTCCGAGAAAGTACCACTGATGTGAAGCAGTGCAAAGAGATGGCAACCTCTTGCTTTGATATGAAGTTAGAGAAAGTGGTCTTCACAGGGTCTGCATCAGTTGAAACGTGCAAATTGGCAGGGCCCAGACTAGAATCAACGAGTGGGTCATGGAAAGAAGAAGAATTGATGGATTCTGATAATGAGCCTGCGGAAGTAAGGAAATCGGCAAAGTCAGTGGTAGAGAAGAAACCACCTGATAAAATCTCATCCGATGCAATTCCTTGCAGTACAGCTGAGGCTCAGACAAAGGTGACTTTCCTCATTGGAGATTCCATGTCTCCTGATTCAGATATTGAGGTCCGAAGTCAAGCAATAGCAGAGCAAATGGCTAGCCACAACAACCAGATAGAGACTGAAGAAGGGGTGACTGCTGACCGGAACTGTGAAGCAAGTCAAACCCTTGAGGACCAAAAAAGAGACTTTAATAGTTCTGAAGCATTTCCTCGGACTACCAGTAAGCTTCAGAGTTGGAATCCTTACAATGAGGAGAGTGTGAGTCTGCTTGATGAATATTTTACTGAGGAGAATTCCATTGAAACCAGGACTATTGACGATATTCCATTAAAAGCAACAACAGACATTCTAGACCCCAGCCGTAGCTTAGAATTTCTCCGAAAACTGTGTATAAAGAACCACAACCCCTCCAGTGAATTTTGTAAATTTATGGAATCTGTGCGTCAAGAGACGTGCAAAAACTGCTTTGCAGAGCAGGACCAAAGAGACAAAAACTCTATATGTATCCCCCATGGGGACAGAGAGAATGCAGAAAAAAAGGCTGACCCAGGTGTGGATTGGGACATTCCAAGAAATGAGAGTTCAGATAGTGCCCTTGGTGACAGTGAAAGCGAAGATGCAGTTCATGATGCGGTCAGAACAAACAGTAACTATTATGGGGCAGAGCAAGAGGAGTGGGCTGAAGAAGAGGAGATACCTTTTCCTGGGTAGGTGGGGAAATTAGCACTTGGACAAATGTATTTTATTCTTTACCTTCCTACAAAATGGTGTCTTCTGATTTAATAGCTAAGAATGGCATCTGTGGATGGAAATTTAGTTTGTGCTTGTTGAGTGAGTACCAGATAAGATTGTACAGAGAAAATACTATGTTTTCCTCGTGTAAATGATATATCATTGATTATTTCAGCTGGGCTTTTTTCAAGACAGTAATTTCAGAGATGCAGCAATGTAAGAGATGCTTATTTTACTGAGGTTGCAACTTAAGAGGCTCCAGTTACCTTTCTCACTTTGAGAGGTATCATGCTAATTTAAGAAAGGCTATTAAAAGAAAGGCACTTGACTGAGGAAAAAAAAGGTGTTACAATTATTAATTTCAGCACAAATCCATATATTTACACTTTACATACTTTAAGCTGTTTCTGAACTGAAAGTGTCCTTTTGAAGCACCTTTCTACAGATAGCTCATCAATTGACTGTGCAATCCAGCCATACGGAAACACCCACTGCAACTTACCTGGCTGCTTCTTGCTCCTCGTGGCCCGGGGCTGCTGGGAGCAGGGGGTGGGGCTTCTTGCATGTGCCCGCCCCCTGGGCTCTTTACTGCCGGAGCTCCGCTCCTGTGCGCTCCTGCAGGAAATGACCCCTGTTTACACTTTTCATACTTTAAATTGTTTTTGAACTGAAAGTGTCCTTTTAAAGCACCTTTCTACAGGTAGCTCAACAATTGACTGTGCAATCCAGCATACGGGTTGATGGTCAGCATGATGAGGTCCCATTGAAGCCAGTGGATTTAAGTGTGCCCTAACCGTTCACTAGGTTGTGCCCAATAGGATTTCACTGAAGGAGAGAGAAATCAGTCCTAGTTGTAGTATACATGCCCATGTTATGCCTTTCTTTCAGGTCAAAATTAATTGAAGTGAACTCTGTCCAGCCCAGTATTGCCAATTTTGGAAGGTCCTTGCTAGGTGGCTACTGTTCATCTTACGTACCTGACTTTGTTTTGCAAGGAGTAGGAAGTGATGAGAAACTGAAACACTGTTTGATGTCAGATTTGTCGCATGCTGTGCAGGTAATTTAAACTATATCCAACACATGAATTATGTCTTTGACCCGTCGGCAAAAGGGAATATTTCTCTAAACCTACTGGAATAGCTGTGAAGCTGATGCTATATTAAATGTGCATAATTCCCATAATCTCAGTAAGCCAATTTATTGAATCGTAGGTATAAAACACCTTTCCAGTATTTCAGATGGAAGATCACGGATCAATTATGTGTTGTGCAACATTTGATCTGTCACAGTTAACCTTTTAAAAAATATGGGCAGGTTGTTTACAGTTTTCCAAGGTAGTGGGGTAAACCAGACCAGCAAAAATATCAATAGTTGATTTAATTAGATAAGGTTTTGAAACACAACACCCCAACCCACAGAAGACTATTTGTGCTTTAAGTGCCTTTGAAATAAGTGGAATAAATTAGTTGTAACTAACCCAATTCAGTTGGGATTTTCTTTGAACCAGGGCCAATACATTTTTAGCATTCAGACTTCTGAGCCATTAATATATATTTATACCCCCACCTTTCTCTCCAGTAGGGACCCAAAACACCTTATATCATTCTCTTCTCCCCCATTTGATCCTCACAACAGCCCTATGAGGGAAGTTAGGCTGAGCATATGTCACTTAGCCAAGGTCACCCAGCAAGCTGCCATGGCAGAATGGGGATTCAAACCTGGGTCACCCAGATTCTCATCCAATCTGATAACCACCACATACCCTGCCTCTTAACATAATGGCTAAGATTCTCCAAAGTCAAAAGTTTGCTAGGAAGCTGTTTGTAATTAATGGCCTTCATGCTTTGTAACAGATACAGTTTACCATTTAGACATCTAGTTACAATTTAGCCGTGGTTGTTAAATAGAACTTCCCTTCCTGAGAGCACCAGATAGTGGGGAAAGTAAAAGGATGATCACCACCTTTGTACCATGCTCCTGAGCTCTCAGGGGCATTTTGACTGTTAGAAACAGAATCAGATTAAGGGGACTTTTATCAGATCCAACAAGGGAATGTACCCTAGAAAAAGGTGGCCATTACCATCACCGAAGACACTGTTGTCATTACAGAGAGGTTAAAAATAATAATGCAGTTGGTCTTTAAGATCAATTATTTGCCTAAATGTCTGTGCCTCCAAAGTTTCTTATATCCAGCATGGTTTTCAGATCAAAATTACTCAGAACAAAGCAACTAATATTACTTTCTAGGAGTTCTATGGCTTTTTCGTTACAATAAACAGTTTCTGTTCCTTTATATGCCAAAGTAGGAAGACCATTTTCCCCAGACTATCATTTCACTTCAAGTACCTAGAAGGAATAGGAGCAGTATAAAGAGCATATTTGAAAGCAGCTGTCAAACAGCAGTTAAGTAATTATTTGGGAAGTTGAGGTTACTGTAATCTTTTCCATACTTTTCCTTTTTTAAGTAATGCAGCTGAAAGCATTTAAAGCCTCTATTTGAAAAGAGCTTGTCCTTTGCTCCCCCTGCTGGTCTTTGTGCATAAGCCATGCACATGCTGAACAATTTACAGCTAAATAGAAAAATTATTTCCTCTGATAAGGCATAAATATATGCAGTTAAGTGAGCAAAAAAAAAACCTCAAAAGAGAAACAAGCAATGTTGCTTTAGGTGGGTCAAATCATAGCGATCTAGTTCTTATTTGCATTGTAGGCAAAATTTGAGCTTTTAAAAAAAATCTTTATGTCTGTTTTCATTGGTACCAGTAAGAATTGGCATCATATGTATGTATCAAGGACAAATGCACTCCTCTTCCCTTTTTTAACCCCAGTGATGCCCTGTCATGCCTTGCTTTTCAAATTATATCAGAAATGGTTTGGCTGTGTAGTGTGGGGGTCTGTTTCATAAACACAAGTCAGAAGCTGACTCTATGGGGGACCTACAGAGTTAGTTGTGTTGTTCAGTCCTGGCTCTTGGCTGCAGTGAATGCATTAAGAGTTTAGTTATTGTTTTCAGTAGAGCTAGGGCGTCGCGTGAAGCATATATGACAGTGCTTTTACCAAACAGCTGAACTTTTCCAAGTTTTTATTCTAAAGCTGCACTTTCAAAAACTATTATCAAATCTCATTCATGCTTAGAAACAACCAGTTAGGTCCAAAGAACCAGAAGATGGGCTTCACTTATGGAAGGAATCTATTTTTCACTTCTCCCTGCTTTCTACAGCCTCTGCACAATACTCAAAAAGCTGGGGCGACTTCAGGAACAGTGGAGGTGGGGGAAGCATTTTGAGTGGGAATTGCTGGATCCCCTTGCACAAGGGTATTTTGGATCCAGCTCAATGTCTTTTGATTTCAGAGTTTTATCTTGTTAAAATCCCATGTTTCTTGTTTGCCTTTTAGCACCCTGTTCTTGATGAACCAATTGCAGAAGCTGTCTGCATTATCGCAGACACTGATAAATGGACGGTGCAAGTGGCCAGTAGTCAGAGACGGACAACTGATAATAAACTCGGGAAAGATGTGTTAGTTTCGAACCTTGTCTCCAACCTGCTTCATTCCACTCTCCAGCTTTATAAGCATAATTTATCTCCAAATTTTGTAAGTACCAGGGTTTGTCTAAAATGTTTCAGGCTTGACTCAAATCTCAGTATGAAGTTAATTGAATAACTTTCTGGCAAAAAAACCCACCTTAACAGATTTGTGTAAAGTTTGTTCTGTAGCTCTTAATTCAGCATAGTTGACCAAAATGTACATCATTTTCACTCAATTCCAAATGTATTGATGGGGAAATAAGTCTCATTGAGTTCAGTAGAACTCATTTCCAAGTGTACTAAAACTCAGGACCTTTGGGTGCACTCTGGCAGAAGAGCTCTGTTTTGCAACCTCTGTTCATTTCTGTAGGACTTGGCTTCAAGGATATCTTCTTGTGGAGCATGATTTTTTCCACAAGCTGCAGCCTGAATGGGCCCTGAAATGCTGTTCCTGGGAGACAAGGAACAGCATTGTGTGTTGGGGAGGTGAGAAAGTAATGGTCGAAAAGACTCCCATACACAGAAACACTCCATTGGATCCAACCCACCAAGTACTGCATAGTTAGCTGACAGCATTTCTGCAAATCAGAGATCATCAGTTATGCTGTAGATCTGATAAACATTCAAAGTAATTTACATGCTTTGTTTTTATTTGCCTTGATTTTATGTATACAGAATTGATTTTCGAAAAGCCCATGTAGGTGCCCCATGTCTGTTTCATTGTGAGGGTGGAGAGATGGGAGTATGATGGGTAGTAGAAAGTTTCAGAACCCTCATCCTGGTTATATTTTTGAACACAATTTGCTGCCTACTCATACTTTTGTCCTTCTTTTGCCAGTTTGCAGTATTGGCATTGATTTTCTGTTGTTGTTTGTCATTATATGGGTTTTTCCTTAGCTGATCCTTAGCTGATTCTGATGTGTAAGAATGCACATAGGAAATCTAATGATGCAACATCATCATATGGCCAATTGTATTGAGCTAGGTAAAGGTAAAGGTTCCCTTGCTCGAAAGCCAGTCGAATCCGACTCTAGGGTTGCGGTGCTCATCTCCGTTTCAAAGCCGAAGAGCCAGCGCTGTCCGAAGACGTTTCCGTGGTCATGTGGCCGGCATGACTAAACACCAAGGTGCACGGAATGCTGTTACCTTCCCACCGAAGTGGTACCTATTTATCTACTTGCAATTTCTTGCTTTCGAACTGCTAGGTTGGCAGGAGCTGGAACTAGAGATGGGAGCTCACTCCATCATGCGGCATCCGGGTCTCGAACTGCTGAACTACTGACCTTCCACAGCCTGCAGTTCAGCGTCTTAACCATTTGAGCCACCGCAGCCCCATTGTATTGAGCTATGTGATGATAATACAAAGCCATCAAGAGTGAGGGCGATGCTTCTTGTCATCACTCTGATTGGACAAACATGTTCTGTCCCCACAAAATAGGACCCCGTTGAAAACATGTCCCTCTGTGTTTCTACTCAGCCTTACTTATATAGAGAGCTATGCAAGCAGTAAGGTTATGGAGTATTTGGTAAAAACACAAGCCATAGGTGCCTGTTGTTATGCAGCTGTTGTTATATCCTGTAACAACCAATCATAGCCATTTTGAATCCTTTTTGTTTTTCATTTACATAGATGTGCTTTGACCCAGATTGTCTTTTCCTTTCCTGGAGTTCCTCTTTCTTCTAGCTTATTTTCACAAAAGAAACCCAAACATACTTACCAGAGGGCATATGAAAATATTTACCCTGCTGACCTAAAAAAAGGCAGCACGCTTGGGTGGACTATAATTTGCTACCCCATGGTCTTTGACTGCAGTTGGAGACTGTTTTGTTTTTGACAGCATTGTTTCTTCATTCCCCCCCACCCCCCCAGTGTGTCATGCACTTGGAAGATCGATTGCAGGAGCTGTATTTCAAGAGCAAAATGTTGTCTGAATATCTCAAAGGCCAGATGCGAGTCCCTGTCAAGGAGCTGGGTGTGGTACTGGGGTATGATCTCATTTCGTTCTCCCTTCTTTGCTTTAGGTCATCCTGCATGTTGCATGGGGTTGTACTGGATGCTCTTTAGGTCCCTACCAACTTTTTAATTCTATGATTCTTTATGCAGTAAGAGTATCCTGGCTATCCAGGCTGTACTTGTGGAAACTGCTATAGGGTTAGTAAGATTTTGTCAGACTTTGCTGATATAGGAAGACTGAACATCTCCAAAGTGTCCATCGATGAAGCGCTTTCAGTAATCCAACTCTTTGATGAACACATAGGCAGTGTTTATTACTGTTTCTATGCTACTCTTTTCTTATGTCTCAAAGCAAGTTTCAGAATTTATCAAGAAACAAAGTATGAAAAGCTTTAAAATTAAACCACTGAACAGTCACACAATGTACATACAGTTGCTAAATGTTTGTTAGGAAGTAAGCCTTTTGAGTTATGTTCAGGATCACAGACTAAGGTGAGAATCCTGGGTCAAACTACATTGGATCCCTCTAACATGTAACTGGTTTCTCTTCAGATCGCATGTAACTTAGCTGGAAGGGGAACCCAACATGGATTGGGTCTGTGGTACTGGGAGAAGGGTGTTTTAAGTCTCCCCTTGCACTAGCTTGGATCCCATGGATTTTGCTAATGTAAAAGATTTCCGTATGTGGGACAGATTTTCCTCCCTTCCCCTCCCCCACTGCAGCCCAAAATATTCCACCAGGAATAATATGACAAAGGTTTGCAGTGGAAGAGAAAAATCAGTGAAAATCCCCCCCCCCATCAGAAAGTTTCCATAGGATCCAACCCACTATTTGCCTGTTTAAAATTGGGGGCTCTGGCCTGTTTATACCTTTTTAGGGGAATAAAGATAGGCACAATACAGGCATCAGTATTTTCCCCTAAAAGCAGCTGAGGAAAATTTTAATCAAGGAATTTGTATCATAGGGGAAGGCATTTTAAAAATGCCATGGCCTTGGTCCATATCAAACACTCTCTTATTAAAGTAGGAGTTGCTTCATCTTTGTGGATCCCCAGCACCATGTTTAGCATGGCCCCTATTCACATTTACATGCATCAAACTCAGTGGCTCTTAATTCTGATTAGCATGTATCAGGCTGTAAGTCTCAAATTGCAGGCCCACCAACCAAGTCAAGCCTTCTCTTGCATAGTAGGATTCACAGGGGACAAAGAGCTCTGAGATCAGCAGCTGTTGGCCAAGCCTGTTTATATCCTTTGGGCAAGGAGATCTGTATTTCAAGAGCAATAGCTCCTAGCGTGTTGGTCCAATAGAGAGAAGAGTGAATTCTCTTTTTGATGTATCTATTGTCCAGTCCAGTATACTCTGACCTGGGTAGCCCAGGCTAGCCTGATCTCATCAGATTTCAGATGCTAAACTGGGTCAAATCTGGTTAGTACTTAGATAGGAGACCGCCAAGGAATACCTCGGTCAATATGCAGAGGGGGGCAATGGCAAACCACCTCTGAATGTCTCTTGCCTTGAAAACCCAATGGGGTCGCCATAAACTGTGACTTGACAGCAAATAAATAAATAAATATCCAGTATGCTGTTTCTGATACTGGCTAATCCCAAAAACGATACAGAAGAATATAAAATCACGATTAAAAAGTACCTACTTTCCTGGCTCATCTTTCTTCTCTATTTGGAGCTTGTCTACTGACATCTAATTTTTGGAACTCATTCTACATGTAAACCTAACATTTTGATCTGTTGGAAGTGTCTTGTTCAGTTCACTCAGTTTGCAGTACCTGAAAAGCTTAAAGCAGTGAACACTTTAGTCATGAAGGCCTGTAACCAGACGAGTGGGCCGGGGGGGGGGGGGATACAGTTTATGACAAAGCCAATGGGGCACATGTATATGAAAGAGATGGCTATGCTCTTTATCAGAGAAATGTGTATAGTTTCAGTAGTATATTTACAGTCTGACAGCTCAAAGCTCTGTTGGTTATTATTATTATTTTATTTATTTTATTTAGTTTGTTTAATGCACAACTGTTGATAATTTTAATAGGTTAAGTGCAGGGACCTTCAACATCAGAAAGCATATTTCTAAAGTGTCAGTGAACCTTGATGATTTTGAAGTTGTGAAAATGCTTCTCTTTCTTTCTTTTAGGATTGAATCCAGTGACCTCCCTTTACTGGCAGCTGTAGCCAGCACTCATTCTCCATATGTTGCCCAGATTCTGCTCTAAAATACCAAAGGGCACGGACAATAACTTCCTTTTTATAAAACGGGAAGACAAGGAAGCAGACATAAACCACTCTTGTCCAGGCTCCTTCGTGCCTGCAGGCAAATGAACCGAACAGCTTGCTTTAGCTGACTTGTGTGCCTCTGCAACCGAATCTATATTGTGCAAACAAATGGAGTCTCCCCTCCCACCCCTTCTGTCTTGGCCATTCTTTTGAAAAGAAGGAAAAAATTAAGACCAGAGGTTCAGATCATTGGAGGAGATGCTAGAGCTTGAAGGACTCCAGACGGTTTGAGCAGAACTGCAAAAATGGATATAATGCCATGCTGTTCAAATCTGGGAATGCAAGGAGGAACGGCTTCCTATGACCCTACGCAGTGCTGTTACTGTTTGTACAAGAGAGCAAGTCCAGCTGGCTTGGGAGTGACTTGGTACCAATTGGGCGAGCATTTAAAATAAATAACCATCAAGCTACAGTTATTTGTAGCAGCTCTGACTATTCCTGCATTCAAAAGCTGAAGACCTTGGGATGGACATTTAAAAGGGCCAGAGTACCCTACTAATGCTCAGAAATGTGCTTGTAGAAATTGGTCCTTTTAAAATGGGGGCAGTCCTGGGAGTACTAGCTAAGACATGTTTGTCAGGTCTCCATAAGGCTGGCTATGTAACTGATCCTTTGCTTTCAATGTGGTTCTGAGGCCGATACAGAAAACAAAACAAACAAAAAGGTTAGAATATCAACTGGCATTTGTATACAGCGTCTTGTTCGTTTTGATTTTGAAAAAAGAATCATACATTTGTGTGTCTTTATTGTGTCCTGTTTTAGTTGCAGTTCAGAGAAAGATAGGTACCCTCAAGTTACTTTGAAACCCCCAAGTTTTAGGTCCTTAATAGTGCAATCCTATGCAGAGCCTAAGCCGATTGAAGTCGATCGATTGTCATGATTCTGCCCTGTAGAGGCATGCTTCCCATTGGTTTAAGTCAGACTTAAGAATGCCTCCATTTCTTTGGACTGTGCCCATTGGTTTTATCTCATAGTTTACCTGCTTTTTGTAGGCAGTTTCCATGAAGAAAATATGTGAATGCATTTGCAAAAATAACCAAGATTGCAATAGGTTGGAGAGTTTGAAAAAATACCTGATTACTCAGGTAATTGGGGGGGGGGGTCTTTTTAAAGAAAGGCCTTTGTAATTAGAGAATCTGAAGCTGGCTCTGCTTTCACACCATTACAACAGCTGCATCAGCATCTTTTTAGACACACTACCCACGTGATCCTAGTCTTTCCCTCCTGACCTGTTTCTGAAGAACAGACTTAAAAAAAAAAAAGCTGTTCCAACTCACGTTCCGTATTTCCCCCCATGTGCCAATCTTGGTGTTGTCAGATTGCTGATGAGGGACCTATCAGTTATAAAAAAATACGTACAGCAGATGGAACGATTATTGTTCTGAACAAGGTTTACTACCTCAGTTTATATGGGACACGGCATTAGAGAGTTTTTCTTGTTTTCCCCAGCATCTAGCAAAGCATCATTGGCTATGTTTGTCATTAATTTCTTTAATATTTAGTGTTCTGAATTTCATAGATTGACACACAATGAAAAGAAAAGGTAGATATTCCTTAATTCACTAAGATAACACCAACTATGCTGTACATTGATCAGGGATCATACAGACATTTCATTATTAATATTATTTTTGTGGGGGGAGCGAGAATGTGTGAGAGAGAGAGTGGGATGACAGCACATTTGAACCTCTTTAGTTCTGGAGGGCTACAGTTGTTGTCTCTACAGGTCGTAGTAACACTGCTGGGAATTTGGTACTTGCATCATAATGCTAAAGGGTGAAAGCAGTTTGTACTTCCTGATAGCAACACCATTGTCTCTGAACCTCTTGTGGGCAACTTTCACACCCATTGGGTCATGATCCTCCCTATACCCCATGCATTTTTTGGCTTTTTTGTTTTAAAGGGTTTAATTTCCATTATTTATATATTTATTAGCACTTTCAAAGTTTCTCTACTGCATGAGTGCTTGTGTAGGCTGTTTTTTTAAAAAGTTCAGTAGCCTTGTTGTTGCTGTTTTTAATGTGCAGCACTTGAATAAGGCTACCCTGTCTTCTGTAGTAGTGCCCCATCATGTCATAACATTTTAACTGTTTTATTTTTTTCCCTTGGATGGAGCCTCCATTGTTGTTGTTCTTGTCCCCCCCCCCCAGCAATTTAGTACATGGCCTGATGTCACTTTCATTGTTGAAAATGCTACAGCCTTCAAATTCCCCCTGCTACACCTGTAGTAAGTCCCTTTGCAAATCAGGCCATTCCTCTGGTGAACAAATGTGAGAATACTAGATTGGATACAAGAGCAGTGGTTGATTTCCCTGCAAAAGTTTTTCTAGCAGCACAGTGAAAGGGTTTGCTGCAGTGGGATATTAATTGTGCATGAAACTGTAGCAAATTGCTGTGCCCAAGAGCTCCATATGTGCATAGGACTCCACTGCCACTATAACCAGTTGAGCTCTCTGAGCACATAGGGCTCTTCTCTTCACTATTTTCGGCCCTGCCATATCTTGAATTTAGCACCGTATTTTGATAAAAAGAAATACATGAAAATAGCCATGTGGCTATTCTGAAATGGCAAGAGGGTAAATTTTCACCTGAGTTAAATATGAACAGTGTGGTTGGAAGTCTCATCAGTAAATAAAAATCAGTACTGACTGCTGCAGAGAAAAGGCTTTTTTTCCTGTGATCTAAAGGTACCTGGTTTGTGTTGTTGCATACTTTCTTTTTCCAAAAGGGTTCATATATACATGCTGGCTCTTGTATAAACCTAAAGTAGGGATTGTCAGCTTGACTTTCAGAAACACTGTCCTACAAATAATCATTGTCCTGAACATTTTATATACCTTTTTCTTCCAGTGCAAAGATTTCAGTAATAGAAGGCTTCAAGTATTCCCATGCTGACACAGCAAATCAGTTGCTCAATGTGCAAACAAAGTTTGAAACACTAAAATTGATTTTATGTGGAATCAGATTTACCATTACACTGTGATCCCTCTCAATTTAATCCTGTTTATTAAATAATTTCAGGCATCACAATGATATTACTCATCCCTTTTATGTTTCTGAGTGTACTTCAAGGAGTTGTCTCCTACCCATCACATTTGGTTGGTGCTCTGTGACAGCTTTGTGCATGGCTGTTATGCTGTCTCAAGGAATGGTAGCCATTACTGTCGCAGTAATGTCAACTCAAGCTGCTGAGCCCAATCCCACTTACTTATTTGCTGCAGCGCAGTGGCTGATAGGATCAGCAGGGCAACTTGATCAGTTTTTTCAAGACATTGGCTTGGAACCAGTGATGTGCAAATGGAAATATAAATGGACAATGCAGTTTTTCTTGGGCACAATGTTGTGCAGTATCAAGGGCTTTGCTCCCTGTACATTATAGAAATTGGTAGCACAAGATTGTGTGCAAGTGGAAATGTAAGTGGGGATACAATAAGTTTGACTTGGTGCAAATAGCTACTAAGATCTTTTTCTTGTGTGTCTGTATGTGCAAGAACACTTGTGCAATGGGAAACTTTGCACTGGATTCAACCCACAGAGTTGCCTCCAAAGGGCATTAGATAATCACTCAGCCACCACGATGCAAATGTCTGAGCGCTGGGTTTATTTAAAAGAAAAAGGGAGTAAATTCTTCTGATAGTCCTAATATGGTGTTGCTGGAATGGTCCCTGTTCAAAGCACACTGTAGCATGATGGCACGCTTTCCTGTGACTAATACTTGTTTATGGTACGTGCAGTTTTGTGGTACAGACACCTGATTGTTTGGATTTTTATTTTTTTAAGGGAACTATAACAGCACTTGTAGTGTTTACCTCTTAATGTTTCATGCTTTTCACAATAATGTATGTACAGAACTAATCTTTTTGATTTTGCAATATTCCCAACATCCATTAATATGTCTTAATTTTAAGGCTGAAACTATTTAAATGTATTACACATACATACTAGCAAATTCTGTCTCACTGCAGCTGGCAACTGCAAATGCAAAGCTGCCAAAAAAAATAAAAAAATCAGAGAGAGAGAAATTAGGGGGATGCTCCCCCAGCAAGATTGTAAATCTTGCCTTTTAAACCCCCTGTTAATTAAGGTAGGCTTTTGTTTTTGTTTATCTTTGCTGTCCCCTAAATTATTTAGATAGTGGTATGTGTAATATGCTGGGCGAAATGTACATACTTGTTTTCTTCTTTTTGTATATATACATTTCCCAAGATGTGCACTTGTACTATAATAACCATTCCCAGTTTTAGGGGAACTTTGTGCAATAAATACAATATTGTCCATTTAAGGGCTTGTTTATCTTTGTCTTGTTTACAAAGGGTGGCAGATTATTTGTTCACTTACGAAGCACCCTTGCACGATCTAGGGAGCTGTTCCAGGTACACCCAAGGGCCTGTGGGTATTCTGTGCAGCACTAGGGGGTTGTCCTTTAGAAAAGCAGATCTCATTCAAAACCGTAATTCTCAAAAGTAATGTGCCATACAGCGGGGATGGCTGCTCTTTGAGAAACATAAGCACTAGTTCCCATTTTCACATGGAGATGATCGCACAGGTGCAGTGCCCGTGGTCTTCACTTGTAATTCTGAAAATCAGACACCTGCACCCAGTGTTCACCCTGTTCAGCAGATACCTGTTGTTAGACAAATAGTTGAGGTGCTATATGGCATTTGGGCTATCCGGGCGATCTGCCATCCACCTCTTCCAGCTGCATGCCATGTGCAATGGTTTCCCCAAACTGCAGGAACAAGAGGAGCCTTTTGATTTGCTTGCCTTTACAAACATTTGGTTAGTGTGGTCCTTATTTCCTTAGCATCTCAATGTTTTGTGACCTTTCCAGGACACCAGATAAATTCAGCCAGTAAGCACCGGATGTTTCACCATTGCCAAATCCCTAAGTATATCCCAATATTAATATGAACACATAGATCATGAATTACAGCTGTGTAATGACGTAATCATAAAGAGAGAATGTGGAAGGAGATGGTTGTTCTTGAGGTTATCGAAGTGGCATGCAGTGTTCTGCCTTGTATGCATTTACCATTTCAAATTATACTGCATAGCTACAAGAAAAGCATGATGCAGACATAGTTTATCAGTCTTATTAAAGTTATTATTTTCAAGTTGTTTCAATGCAGTATGTTTTGGGGAGGGTTTTTTAAATTGGTTTTGTAATGTATGTTTTAAACTGATAGGTGTCTTGGCAGCCCTTGTAAGGGCAGAAAGGCAGGACACAAATTTTGTAAATAAATATAATAAATATTATTGGGCCCTCTATAGCCTAAACTCTCCTACAAACCCCAAGGAAAATAACCTCAATACAGAGGCTACAGTTTCCTTAGAGCCCATTGCCCCAACTTGCAGAACAGCTTGACTGCAGCCCTGTTTTCTTGGCCAATCCACAAATTGTCTTTACATGTCCTGCCACATCCCCATTTCCACATCGAGGTCAGGACGCAACACAGCTTCCTCTGAAATTAAGCTTTTCTCCCTTCCCTGCCCAGTAGCTAGATCTAATGCATCTGAATCAGGCTTTCGTGCAGGCAACCCAATCACCAGCTATCACATATGTATCAGGTGGCATTTTGATTTATATTTGCACTCTAGCATTTGGCCTGAACCACAAATGTGTGAACAGTCTACAGATTTCAGGAGGAAAGGTTACTTCAAACACTATTAGCAAACAGTCCAGCCACTTGACTGGTGGTGTATGGTGCCTGTTCTACCCCCCCCCCCTTTTTTTTTGCTGTTTAATAGCTAACACAGCTGGAGATTATTCCTGTAACCATATTGTAGCAGCAGCTGGGAACAGATCAAGCTGTTGAATGTTGACAGAACATGTTCCATTTCAGAGAAGCTATGGTTTAGCTGGTGTGTGTGTACGACAGGTGCCTCTGGAGCATGCCAAACTTTCTGCAGGCAAGGCACGGCTGACAGCATAAAGATGTCTTTAAAAAAAAGACTGCCATGAATCTAGAAGGGGGGGCTCACCACAGCTATTTCCATATGCAACAGAACATTGGTGGATCAACTGGCACCTTCTTTTTGATGGGATGCTATGGATTCTAGCTTCAAGCTGGGGGAAATGCTGTGTTCTAAGGAAGTCAAATTCATTCTGCAGAATGCTGCTTAATGCCGGGATCTGCTTTACAGTCAGCTACCAGATGTCTCAGTATGATAAAGAGACCGACTATTCACATTGTTGGTTATGTAGGAGCTCTAAACATTGCTTCATTCCATGGTACAGCTGTTTGTGCTGCATGGTGGACGAGGATTGGAAGGAATACACCCTGCTGATTTTTGCCTGTATCTTTCTTTGAAGAATGTGGGAGTGGCTTAGGGCAGCAAT